TTACAAAAAATACAAAAACAAAAACACGCATATGTACATCCCGCCGCCGCCGCCGCCATACAACAAACACGAACAAGAGCACCACGAATTGGAGAAACGGAAGCAGCAGAGATGGAAGGGGTGAAAAGCGCTCCGCTTTGAAATTGATTGAAGTTGTCAGTTAAGCCGACAAAGGCGGCAACTTTTCAAAAGAAAGGTGAACGTATTTTTTTAGGTTGCCAATGTTTGCGAAAAAAAAAACAAAACTAAACCCAAAACCAAAACAAACAAAAGGCCAACTACCATCAACAACAACAAGAAGGGAGGGAGGTTGGGAAACCTGGGTAGTGATAGTTTCGGCGAGGGGGGAGAAACTTGAGAGGTGGCTTATAGTTCCGCAATGGACAGTAATATGTGTGAATAGGAGAAATCTAAATTTTCTTTAACAGAGAAAAAACTTCGTGCCTTTTGAAGAACTCCAAAATATTTTTAAAAATCCACGCCTATTGTAGGTTGATTAAAAAATATTTTAAAAAATCCACGCCTATTGTAGGTTGATGAAAAAATATTTTTAAAAATCCACGCCTATTGTAGGTTGATGAAAAAATATTTTTAAAAATCCACGCCTATTGTAGGTTGATGAAAAAATATTTTTAAAAATCCACGCCTATTGTAGGTTGATGAAAAAATATTTTTAAAAATCCACGCCTATTGTAGGTTGATGAAAAAATATTTTTAAAAATCCACGCCTATTGTAGGTTGATGAAAAAATATTTTTAAAAATCCACGCCTATTGTAGGTTGATGAAAAAATATTTTTAAAAATCCACGCCTATTGTAGGTTGATGAAAAAATATTTTTAAAAATCCACGCCTATTGTAGGTTGATGAAAAAATATTTTTAAAAATCCACGCCTATTGTAGGTTGATGAAAAAATATTTTTAAAAATCCACGCCTATTGTAGGTTGATGAAAAAATATTTTTAAAAATCCACGCCTATTGTAGGTTGATGAAAAAATATTTTTAAAAATCCACGCCTATTGTAGGTTGATGAAAAAATATTTTTAAAAATCCACGCCTATTGTAGGTTGATGAAAAAATATTTTTAAAAATCCACGCCTATTGTAGGTTGATGAAAAAATATTTTTAAAAATCCACGCCTATTGTAGGTTGATGAAAAAATATTTTTAAAAATCCACGCCTATTGTAGGTTGATGAAAAAATATTTTTAAAAATCCACGCCTATTGTAGGTTGATGAAAAAATATTTTTAAAAATCCACGCCTATTGTAGGTTGATGAAAAAATATTTTTAAAAATCCACGCCTATTGTAGGTTGATGAAAAAATATTTTTAAAAATCCACGCCTATTGTAGGTTGATGAAAAAATATTTTTAAAAATCCACGCCTATTGTAGGTTGATGAAAAAATATTTTTAAAAATCCACGCCTATTGTAGGTTGATGAAAAAATATTTTTAAAAATCCACGCCTATTGTAGGTTGATGAAAAAATATTTTAAAAAATCCACGCCTATTGTAGGTTGATGAAAAAATATTTTAAAAAATCCACGCCTATTGTAGGTTGATGAAAAAATATTTTTAAAAATCCACGCCTATTGTAGGTTGATGAAAAATATTTTTAAAAAACCCACGCCTATTGTAGCTTAATGAATAATATTTTTAGAACATCCACGCCTATTAAAATATTATAAATAGTTTTTAAAACTATTTTAAAAATCCTACTTTATATTTGTTGTTGTTATTGTTTAATTAATGCATTTCAGTTTTCCAAAATCCCACATATTTCTATCCCAAAACTTTGTCACTCAAGAATGCAGCAATGATTTAAAACATTGATTCAATTCCATATGTAAATGGGTATTTACGCGTATGCATGTGTGTGTGTTGGCATGAATTATAACTAATGCATTTCTCACCTAAACACACACACAGATACACACTTCACAATACACATTTGTTATTCATTCGTAGGTGTTTGGGACCTATTGGCATCGTTATTTTATTTATGGCCCAAAATAAGGGATTAAACATAAATGCTTTGGCAACCAACACACAAACAAATGCACACATACATAGACAGACTCAGAGCTATTTAGCCAACCAGCCAGCCAGTCAGATAGGCAATTTAAGTTGAAAATTGTAAAATTTATTGTGAGTCCATATTCCACATGTCGGGTTGATGGTGTTCGAAAGAAGTAAAAGGGAATTCCGTTAATAAATTCATTCAAAATACAATTTAAGGCACATGCCACACAAACTCACACATGTTCTGTTGTCACCTAACGAGCGTGGGAAGTTTTTCGATCTTGTTTAACTTCGAAATTTGCATTTAATTGGGTTAAATTAACAACAAGCCCGAACATAGGGTGATAATTATATGTTATGGAGTTTTTGTGTAAATCACTTCGATAATGTCTTCAAATTTAAGATACACTCACGTGAGATATTCGCTTCAAATATGGAATTACCTGAAATAGAAAAAAGTAAATAAAAAATATTAGTAAATAATATAAAAAAATTTAATGTAATATTTCAATAAAAAATCCACGCCTAAGCCTCAGATGGTGGCTCTAAAAATCTATTTTAAAAATCCAAGCCCAAGCCTTTATTAATGGTTCCAAAAATTTATTTACAAAACCAAAAAAAAAACTTTTTTAAAAATCCACGCCTAAGTTTCAGATAATGGCTCTAAAAATCTATTTAAAAAATCCATGCCTAAGTTTCTGAAAATGGCTCTAAAAATCTATTTAAAAAATCAACGCCTAAGTTTCTGAAAATGGCTCTAAAATTCTATTTAAAAAATCCACGCCTAAGTTTCTGAAAATGGCTCTAAAATTCTATTTAAAAAATCCACGCCTAAGTTTCTGAAAATGGCTCTAAAAATCTATTCAAAAAATCCATGCCTAAGGTTCTGAAAGTGGCTCTAAAAATCAATTTAAAAAATCCACGCCTAAGGTTCTGAAAATGGCTCTAAAAATCAATTTAAAAAATCCACGCCTAAGGTTCTGAAAATGGCTCTAAAAATCTATTTAAAAAATCCATGCCTAAGGTTCTGAAAGTGGCTCTAAAAATCAATTTAAAAAAATCCCCGCTTAAGCCTCTATTAATGGCTCTAAAAATCTATTTAAAAAATCCACGCTTAAGCCTCAGATGGTGGCTCTAAAAATCAATTTTAAAAATCCACGCCTAACCCTCAGATGGTGGCTCTAAAAATCAATTTTAAAAATTCACGCCTAAGCCTCGGATGGTGGCTCTAAAAATCAATTTAAAAAATCCACGCCTAAGCCTCGGATGGTGTTTCTAAAAATCTATTTAAAAAATCCACGCCTAAGCTTCAGATGGTGACTCTAAAAATCTATTTAAAAAATCCAAGCCTAAGCTTCAAATTGTGGCTCTAAAAATCTATTAAAAAAAAATTACACCGAAGCCTCAGATGGTGGCTTTAAAAATCTATTTAAAAAATCCACGCCTAAGCCTCAGATGGTGGTTCTAAAAATCTATTTAAAAAATCCACGCCTAAGGTTCTGAAAATGGCTCTAAAAATCTATTTAAAAAATCCAAGCCTAAGCTTCAAATTGTGGCTCTAAAAATCTATTAAAAAAATTACACCGAAGCCTCAGATGGTGGCTCTAAAAATCTACGCCTAAGCCTCATATGGTGGCTCTAAAAATCTATTTAAGGCTCAAAAAAAAAAAAAAAAAATCCTAAGGCCCATTTTTGAAAAAAAAAACTTCCACCCTGACAACAAAATTAAATTATCGTGCAATTTTTGTTGTTGTTTGTTTCTGTTCGACTGTCAACATCACTAACAACCGTCAAAGTTCACAGTTGTTGTTGTGTTTTTTGGTTAATCGTGTTGTAAACGCCACGCCTAAGCCTCGGATGGTGTTTCTAAAAATCTATTTAAAAAATCCACGCCTAAGCCTCTAAAAATCTATTTAAAAATCCGCGTCTAAGCCTCACTTGGTGGCTCTAAAAATCTATTTAAAAAATTCACGTCTAAGCCCCAGATGGCGGCTATAAAGATCTTTTTAAAAAAATCACGTCTAAGGCTAAGATTGAGGCTCTAAAAATTGATTTAAAAAATCCACGCCTTAGCCTCAGATGGTGGCTCTAAAAATCTACGCCTAAGCCTCATATGGTGGCTCTAAAAATCTATTTAAGGCTCAAAAAAAAAATCCTAAGGCCCATTTTCGAAAAAAAAAACTTCTACCCTGACAACAAAATTAAATTATCGTGCAATTTTTGTTGTTGTTTGTTTCTGTTCGACTGTCAACATCATTAACAACCGTCAAAGTTCACAGGTGTTGTTGTTGTCTTTTTGGTTAATCGTGTTGTAAACGTTTTGTAAAACAACAACACCATCATCCTCGCCATTTCGGTCCCCAAAAATATCGGTGTTGGCGACGGTGGTTAGGTGCAAATTTAAATAAATTTATTACCTTGCTACAGAGTCATTGAGATAAAGATCTACAACTGACGTTTGCAGCCGTTGTCTTGTTAAGCGAGGAAAAATCGGCATAATTAATGTTAACATCGGCGATGATTCGTGTAAATACGCCAACGACCGGTACAACTAATTATTACATTCGAAACTTCGAAGCGAGTGCAGCGCAGAATGAACGACAGATCAAGTGTAGTTGAATTTAATTTTTTGTTTTTTGTTGTTGCAGTACTCCTCACCCCTTGGTATTTTAAGTCATTTGCATGTTCAAAACTATATGTACACTCTTATTTAAAGTCATGTCTATTGAATGCTAGTGAGCTTGGATTCGATAAGAAGCAAACGCTTCGTACAGGGTGTTGCCACATGAAATTTTCAAATAGGCTGGGATTTTTTAAAAATATTTTTTCTAGTACCCAGGATTTTTAAAAATATTTTTTAGGTAGCTACAATATTTTTTAAAAATCATTCTGGTGTGGCACCATTGCCATCATTTTTCTATTAGTAGGTGGCACTCATTCTCTGGCTTTGGTTGTGTTCCCTTGTCATTCCCGCCCACTTCTTTACGACTTAGACACGAATTAAAGTCAAAGTGCATTTTGTGAGCGTGGCACCATTCCGACGGCAGTATTGCGCCGTCGTATTTGCATTGCCATAACGGCGTTGAGCTTAGATACGATGTGGTTGGTGGCGGTGTTGGCGTTGATGGGTTGTTGGCGTAGATCATTGTTTGCCGTTGTGTAAAACCAATTAAAATCAGGGTTTTGCTTTTCTGGTCGGAACGGAGAAAAAAATGCTGTTTGGCATTTTTTTTGCTGACATGCCATTACAAGCCATTTAGAGATGAAATATTTTGTTTTTTGCATTTTGTGTGTGTTAATAAACAATTTTCAACATTAAGCGTGCTGTGCATGTTTAATTAAGATTGTTTTCCATTGATTTGACCGTTTATTAATTAAAACATTGAAGAAAATTGGCTGCGGAATGGTGGCCGCCGCCTAATAAATTTGTGGTGCCATAAAAAGCGAAACCAAAGGAATTTGCCGCCACTTTTTTAGGTGGGCGTTGAATGCTAAAGTGATTTTTATGTTGGCAAGGAGGTCCCCAACTCAAAATTTGCCAATTTTTCATAAAAAGTGAAAATATTGAAACGAATGTCCAAATTTAAGTTAAATAGGTAAGAAAACGAATTTCAAGCCTTCCTCCCAAATATTTTATACTGCTTTCGAAAACAAATCAAAAAATCTTAATGCCATTTTTTACTTCGACTAACATTTTTTTCGAGTGTACAATGTTACCTCACCTCCCAGTCATTGGATATTTTTACAGTAGTTTTTTTCTCCTCTTCCTTGTATTCCTCATTCTTTGAATTTTCTCTGTTGCAGCAGCTACCTGTCAATTGTATTTGACATTTTTCACACCATAATCGACGAAGATCGAAGAAGAACTCAGACAAACTGTCTGAGATTTGAAAATGTGAAATAAGGGGAAAATGTCGCGCATCGGTTTCTTTAACACTGACATTGACACTTGTTTGTGCTGTTGTTTTTTTCTTGATTAACATTGTTGACATTTTATTAATATTGACATTACTTCTAAGGAAGGACGGAAGGAAGTGAGGTTCAACGTTGATCGGGATATTTTTAGAAATATTCGTTGAGCCACCATCTGAGACTTAGGCGTGGTTTGTTTAATAGATTTGTAGGGCCAACATCTGAGACTTTGGCGTGGATTTTTTAAATAGATTTTTACAGCCTTCATCTGAGGCTTAGGCGTGGATTTTTTAAATAGATTTTTAGAGCCAACATCTGAGGCTTAGGCGTGGATTTTTTAAATAGATTTTTAGAGCCAACATCTGAGGCTTAGGCGTGGATTTTTTAAATAGATTTTTAGAGCCAACATCTGAGGCTTAGGCGTGGATTTTTTAAATAGATTTTTAGAGCCAACATCTGAGGCTTAGGCGTGGATTTTTTAAATAGATTTTTAGAGCCAACATCTGAGGCTTAGGCGTGGATTTTTTAAATAGATTTTTAGAGCCAACATCTGAGGCTTAGGCGTGAATTTTTCATATAGATTAGGCGTTTCGCCTGTCATTATCGCATTTATTAAATAAATTAATTCATTACCCAATAATCATGTCATTGCTCGAACACCTTTTGCCTTTACCTGCTGTTTCGAGCAGATCGCTATCACCTAATATTATCCAAATATGGCATCGCAATAACAATACTAATAATGGCAATGATGAGTTGAGAATATTTATAACCAATTTTTATATGAAATGACAATTCGTTGAATATAAATTATTTAAATCGTGTCAAGTGTGGTCCATTGTTTGAACACCAATTTTGAACCAGTTTTGAAAATTCTAACCAAAACAACACAAACCTACCACCAACTGACCGCCGAACGAACGACCATATAAAAGTGTTGCCATCGAAGAGGAGTGTGGCCGTTTTGGCTAGAATCTCCATATGTGGCAAATGGCGACTAACTACTGGCAAATAAAAATTTGTCGCAAACCAATATTTTTGTTGTTATTCTATTTCAAATGAGATAAGCGATCTTTACAATCATTTTGTAATTAAGACGGGAAATAAATCAATTTTTGTTGAGGCATGCATGTGGGCTTTTTTAGAGATTATTTGCATGAAGCTGAGGAAGACTTGTTGAGTTATTGGAATTTAATCGTGGTAGATGACAATTAAGATAGGGGAAAATTACACTTTTAGAGCCTGACAGAAGGCGTAGATTTTGTATAGACAATTCTCCAAGTACTAACAAGAGCGGAATTTTAAAGAATATTACATTTTTAAATTATTTTTTAATCGACCTACATAAGGCGCGGATTTCTTAAAAATATTTGTTCAAGGCCTTACATAAGGCGTAGATTTTTTAAAGAATATTTTTTCAAGGGCTTTCACAAGGCGTAGATTTTTAAAGAATATTTTTTCAAGGCCTTTCACAAGCCGTAGCTTTTAAAAAAATTATTTTTCAATGCCCCTGAAGGCGTAGATTTTTTTAAGAATATTTTTTTCAATGCCCCTGAAGGCGTAGATTTTTTTAAGAATATTTTTTTCAATGCCCCTGAAGGCGTAGATTTTTTTAAGAATATTTTTTTCAATGCCCCTGAGAATATTTTTTCAGACATCCACAGATGTCGTGGATTTTTTAAAGAATATTTTTTCAGACATCCACAGAAGGCGTGGATTTTTTAAAGAATATTTTTTCATACATCCACAGAAGGCGTGGATTTTTAAAGAATATTTTTTCAGACATCCACAGAAGGCGTGGATTTTTAATGAATATTTTTTCAGACATCCACAGAAGGCGTGGATTTTTAAAGAATATTTTCAGGGTCTACAAAAATCCTGGATTTTTTAAAGAATATTTTCAGGGTCTACAAAAATCCTGGATTTTTTAAAGAATATTTTCAGGGTCTACAAAAATCCTGGATTTTTTAAAGAATATTTTTTCAGGCGGATTCACAGAAGGCGTGGATTTTTTAAAGAATATTTTTTCAACGATACACAGAAGGCGTGGATTTTTTAAAGAATATTTTTTCAACGATACACAGAAAGCGTGGATTTTTTAAAGAATATTTTTTTCAATGATACACAGAAGGCGTGGATTTTTTATAATAATATTTTTATTATTTTTTATCTAAATATATTATGCAAAAATTTATTCAGTTTTTGAAATCCGTTTTTGAACTCCTCCCATCATCTTCATGCCTTTTAATTTCCAGAAAAAAAGAGGTGGTTATGCGTTTTGTTCGGCCATCATAAATTATAATTTTCCTAAACTATTTTTGTTCCGCATATTCTTCCCCACCTTATGTCTTCATCAGCGTAAAATAGGAATAAAAATCATTCAGAAAAAAATTGCCCGTACTCTGAATGCGTTCAGCAAATTGGAACTATTAAAGCTAATGATTTTTTTATGCAGATTGGGAGCTGAAGAAAAAAAACTTCCGTAACTTTACCCTCCCAAAAAATTTATGAATTCATAAAACAACTCACACACGCATGCACATACCACACAATAATGGAGACGTTTGGTAGTCATTTGCGGAACCAAACGCAGAAAAAAAAAGAAACTCAAGAGATGAATGGCATGCATTTGTGGTTTCGTAGTTCTTTTGACCACAAATGGCCTCAGATGAATGAATGCATCGGCGAGTGTTTTATCTAAGTGTGCGTGCATGTGTGTCTGTGTGTTATTATGCAAAATCTACGCATATTTTTCTTTTTTGCTTAACTATAATTAAAATTTATATACAGACAAAAAAGAATATTCACATAATCAGATTAAAATTCTGCATACTTCGAAGAGGATTGGTGTTGCAACAGCAATCTTGGAGGAGGCAGCTTAGAGGCAGCATTAGTTTAGGTTCTTAGGCAACGTGTTGGCGTTCAGAAGCTTATTCGATGTTAATGATACGTTAGATGTAAACTGACTTTTAACCAGCATATCCGGAAGGCATAATTAAGGCCAGCATTTTCAATTTTCTTAGAAAAAGGGGTGCTTCATAATTATTATCTTCATATCGTGCTTCCGACACTTATTTGAATGAAAAGGTAATTTAAAAAATTTTGTGATTGAATAAAAGATGCATCGGCAGATAAGCTTTAGAAACTTCCCTTTGGGGGCATATTACAAATAAATGGCCCTTCTATAAAAAGAAAATCTCTTTAGAGGTCCTTAAAATGTATGTATAGACAGATATCCTTTTGAGAGGTAGACATTTTGAGTGCTATATTAAAGAGGTCTCCTATTTGTAGAATATCTCTCCAAGGCAATTATATTTTCAGAAAATCCCCCAAAGATCATTCATAGATTTTTATTTCCCCCTCGCCTTTCCAAAATTGTTTGCTGGGTTATTATTAAATTTCCGTCTTCTTTGATATTTTAATTTATTTTTCTTTTTATTTATTTATTTTTTTTTTTGTTGCAGCATTCCAACAATTTAGAATTATTTTTTTCCTAATTAAATTCTAAATTCCCAAATGCAACAAATCTCAAAACTGCAATCTATTATTATTATTGTTATGATTTCTATTATTTATAAACAAACAATCACACAAATAAACAAAATAAATTGCATTTGAATGTGATTTTGTTGTCGTGGTTGTTGTTGCTGCAATTCTCTATATTTGCTTCCCATTCGTAATCACTCAATTAATTAAAATTTTATAATGCTTAGCCTTAAATGGTGTGTGGGACTGGTCGATCTTTCGAACTAGAAGAAGAAAAAAAAGACGACGATGGTGAAGATCGTCATTTATTCTTGCCATATTTGTATGGTTGATTAATTTTTATTGAATGGAACAGTGGGGGAATAATTTCATTGAAAAAATATTCTTTAAAAAATCCACGCCTTGTGTAGGTCCCTGAAAAAATATTCTTTAAAAAATCCACGCCTTGTGTAGGTCCCTGAAAAAATATTCTTTAAAAAATCCACGCCTTGTATAGACCCCTGAAAAAATATTCTTTAAAAAATCCACGCCTTGTATAGACCCCTGAAAAATATTCTTTAAAAAATCCACGCCTTGTGTAGGTCCCTAAAAAAATATTCTTTAAAAAATCCACGCCTTGTGTAGGTCCCTAAAAAAATATTCTTTAAAAAATCCACGCCTTGTGTAGGTCCCTAAAAAAATATTCTTTAAAAAATCCACGCCTTGTGTAGGTCCCTAAAAAAATATTCTTTAAAAAATCCACGCCTTG